ATACCTTTTCTCAGGAACATCTTCTCCTTCAAATAAACTCCATAACAAATATGCCCAATAAACTATCCCGAAGGTATAATTTATGGTGATGCAGCAGCAATAATTTGGAAGATTAAGATTAAGGCAACAAACTATCCCACAAAACTAACAAACAAACTGTCAAACTGAGACAAATTTAACTTGATATTAAGAAGATAAAAAACAATTTAATGCACCTGTAGACAAGATAACTAGTAGACATACATCTAACATATCAAAATTATTAATGATATAAGGAGCTTCTGCCCAAAATTTACAACTAAAACAAGTTTCGGAGCAGTATATGAGCAGGCTATAAGTTTAGTTGAGGTAAAGTTAACTTGATAAAACCACAATAAGAAGTATCTTTGCTTCTGCAATTTTAATAAGAAGTTCATACCTCTATTGCTACTGTGGGTGTCTCCAAAGTAGGGGATGGATCTTGAGGAGATGGTTAGGCTATGAAGAGAAATGATAGGATTTCAAGTAGAATTTTGACCTAATGTCGGCGAGGCGGCGGTGAGACTACAGCGAGTTGGAGGTGAGGCAATGAGTCAGTGGCAAGTCAAAGGCGTATGGGCGGTGATTCGGAGACACATCGGCGAGTCGACGGCAAAGTCGGCGGCGATGGTGGTTGATGGTGACTGAAGATGGAGAAGCGGCCACTGCAATGTAGTCGTGAAAGAAATTAGGAAATTAGGGTCGGTGTTTTCTTTGTTTTAGGTTATTGGAAGATGAGAACAGATATGAGTTTCTAATGGGTACGGGTTAAGAAAATATGTGAATGATTTATATGCGGTCGGTTCGGGTTGAAAACTTTTCAACCCGATCCGAACCGAGTAGTCCAAAAAACCGACCCAGATTGCTATTTTTTAGTTGGTTCGGTCAGTTTATTCAGTCTAGACCGAACCACGCTCAGCCCTATCTAAAAGAATAAAGGAACGAGAGAGTATTTTTTCTTGTATTAACTCATAAATGTCGCTATTGTAGCAAAAAAAAAAAAAAAACTAACATTATGTTAAAAAAATCAATTGCCATAAATATTTATCCAACTATGGTTATACAAGTTCAAAGTAAATGTACAAAGAGTAACACCATTCATACCCTTTGTTGGGTAAATTAGAAGAAACCCTGCGACATTACGATAAATTAAAGATTTCATTAAACTTCCATAATTTGTGATTTTTGAAGTGCAAATCTTTCAATTATAAAATGCAAACGTTGACAAAAACATTTGAAGAGTAAAACTATATGACAAAACTAAATGTCTTATTAACGAGATAAAGTCTAAGGGCAATCGTTTTTAGCAACTGCCCTTGGATACCCTTGTTTTGGTGATATCTGTCCTTTTCACTACATGAGAGGTTGAGGTAATTGGCGAGAGGTTGGGTTTAGGTTTGGGACAAGGAATTTAAGTTTGGGATAAGACTTGGGACATCTATCATTTTCACTACACGATTGATAGAGGCAATCACTTCTCGCGACCGCCATTAGAACTCCTCTATTAAGGAGCATATATGATTGAGTGTTTTTCTTGAACAACTTAAATGAGTATATTTTAGAAAAACAGAATATAAATGAAGGTGATGCCCTCAGTTTAATTCAAAAGGTTTGATGTGATTCAAAGAAATTATAGATACACGGTCATAAAAAATGGGTTAGATATAAAGAGATGGGTAAACTTATCTTAAAAAAATGGGTAAACCTAAATAGATAGGTAAATTATTTTTCACGTAATTTCAAATTTGTTTTTAAATAAAACAGATTCTAAACCAATTACTTAACATTTATTTCCAAAAACTAACCAACTTTGGGTCATGTCAACATTACTAGCTGGAAACGCGTTTTTTTAAAGATATTGTGTTTATTTAATTATCTGGGAGGGGCAACCCTCGTAATTAGCATTAAGAAAGTTTGATAAACAATAAAAATAACCATGATTAGCAATCTCAAGTATTTTAAGAACAGTGAGAATACCTGGGATTTTCCATTATCACTTTGCTATCACTACGAATTACCAATCTCATGTAATTAATGGAACAAAAATTTTAAGAAATAACCAACTTAATTTCAACGAACAATACTAAGAGCATCTCCAAGGGGCCGGATTTTTTCGGCCCCTAAGCTAAATTAAGGGGAATTGTAGAGAAAGTTGCTCTAATGAGCCGGAAAACTTTTCCCTTCACCTCAAACCCCTTAACTCTCTCCCCAAATTAAGGGGAATGTTAAAGTCCCTTAACATTCCCCTTATAATTTTATATTAATATTTTTTAATGGAGTTAATGTATAGTTAATTAAATTTAGTTAATGTATAGTTATTAATATTTAATTATTTATTAATGATTAATATAAATTAATTATTTGTTAAATTTTAATATGATTAATTAATTTTTTAAATGATTATATAAGGTAGTTTCTTAATTTAAATTAATTAATTAATTATTTTTAGTTACCAATATTTAATCATTTATGCATTTATAAATAAACTACATATTTAATTAAATCCTAATCTATAAAATATTAAATATGAATAATTAATGGGCAGGGGGACTTTTAAGGGAGGGGAAGGCTCCTCCCTTAAAAGTCCCCTAGATTAAGGGAGATTGTAGGGATCCCTTGGAAATGCTCTAACGTGTCCGAAACTTGCTCTAGGTTTACAAATAAATACTACTAGTATGTGCCCCGTGCGAAGCACGACGTTCCCTTTTTTTGGCTACATTAATCCCGTTTTTTAATTGCTACAGTTTTTTAAATGCCACAGTAAAATTTATGAAATGCTTTAGTAAATATTTTTAAAAATGCTACCGTAAACCCGCCTTCGCTACAGTAATTTTAAATAATGCTACAGTAAAACCACCTCTGCTATAGTAATTTAAAAAACTAATGCTACAGTGTTTTTAATAATGCTACAATATCCCGTTTATGTTATAGTAACATTTATTTGAAAAATACTACAGTAATAAGGCTATAATAAATTACTGTAGCATAAATAGTGATTCTTAGTTCCTCCCATTTCTATAGAGGAGAAGCTTGTCTACTTTTGTCATGAAAATTAGGATTGTTTGCACTTAAATATCAAAAGTTTATTTCATTTTTAACTTGACACCTAACAGATTCTTTCTTTAAAAAAAATGCAAACTTTAACAAAATTTAATTTTGATGTCTCCAAAGTTTTCTTTTGCCCAAATTACCTCAAAACACAACAAAATTTAACATTGATGACTGAACTTAAATTTTTTTTAATTTTTGCTTAAGTTTTGGATGTATGAAATTTAAAAATTGTTAAAATTATGGGATTCAAAACTTAGTTTTGTTAATTTAAAAATATTTCTTAGACAAAAGAAAATTCTCGGGTATCACAGTTTGAAAATAAAATAAGATTTGGTTTATTTTTTCTTCAAAAGAAATCTTAGGAATTAGGACTTTATAGTTAAAAATGGAGTGAACTTTGAGTATTTAGGGTATTTACGCGGAAAAATTCTGAAAATAGACCACATTAGCTAAATATTTAGGAAAATCGATCATTTTGCTAAATATTTAGCAAAATCGACCTCTTTTTGGTCTGTTGGCAAAAAAGAGATCGATTTTCAAAAACTTGGCCTGAAAACATACGGGACTACTAGTCCCGTATGTTTTCAATATACTAATTAGAGATTAGAAAACATACGGGACTAGTAGTCCCGTATGTTTTCTGTGAGCTTCTCGTGGCTCAGCAAAATGTACGGGACTACCAGCAAAATGTACGGGACTAGTAGTCCCGTACATTTTGCAGAGGCTTTTGCCTCAGCAATCAAATATACGGGACTAATAGTCCCGTATATTTTGCAAAGGCAATTTTCCTCTGCCCAGCAAAAATACGGGACTACTAGTCCCGTATTTTTGTTGGGCAGAGGCAAAACATGCACAAAACATGCATGACCCTCTAGCTGAGCATACAACCCTCTAAAAAAATACACATTATCACAACACAATACATTATCACAAAACAATACATCATCACAACATCACATCCAAAATTCAACCAAAATTCACATCAGCACAAAATAATTCCAACTGCATTAAGTCTAACCATACGATAATATGTAGCTTAAGTAGAATAAATCCAAATGCATCAATAAATCCATACGACAATAATCTACATGGAAAAACTAACAAAGGAAAAATCCCCCCCTCCCCCGTTGTCTCGGCCTTCGTACCCGCTGAGATCGTCGGCGGCCCCCTTCGTCTTGAGCTTGTATATGCTCACTCTTCGGTTGTGTGTAGGGCTGTGACGGACCAGCTCGTTGTGACGGACCAGCTTGTTGTGACGGGCCAGCTTCATCGTCGTGCGTGCAAGATCTATCACGTCTACGGTGGCGCACATATGTAGTATCTTCAAGATCCACCTGCTCACGACCTTCATGTCGATCCTCATGAGTTTGTTGAATAGCTCTACGAACTCTCGCCACTATCCGCTGTAATATCGATACGTCCACAGAATCTCCTATGACGGTAGTTATACCCTCATTTGCAATCCCCACTACATCGTCCAATGCGTCTATCTACAATTACATAAAAATATTGCTTCATATAAGAAACCAAAAGCTAACATAAAGATTGAAAAATCTATTATAATCTAAAGCAATTTACTTACCCATCGCCTCTCATCTAACCCTCTTGGTACATATCGAGATTGTTCGTTGCGAATCTTGATTTCGTCGACTGGAGGCGCAGTTTGGGTGATTATCCAACGTCGGGTAACCCCCCAATACCATCTTATGTAATCGACTTCCTGCATCGGAGGATAAAGCGGATCGACAATAAGTTGATGCCGATCATTCCACCGAGCTATGTATGATTGATGCGTGCGCTGCCAGTTAATCTGATGTCCACCTTTAGCCGCCTTTCTCTCTATTTTTTCGACCAATTGTGGAGCGTGTATACAAATCAGCGGTAGACGATGTAGGTAAGGTGCGTATGGCTGCCACTCGAACTGCAAAATAATCCATATATTAACTGTTGTTTGAAATATATCGATAGCTTTAAACGATTGCAATTCAAATTCATACCTGAAAAATTTTCATTCGGTCGAGCTCCCCCCTGTAAAAGTCTAACTGTCTAGCCGGGACCTCATTATAGGCTTTAGTGACATTCCATCTGTAAATTTTATATACGATAGATTTTTGTTCAAAAGTTTAAATGAAAAATAAAATATCAAACGATATTAAATTCGAGGAATTTTACCTGCAGCCTAGTGGAATCTGTCCATCCAACTCTCGGATCTCGCATAATCGCGGTTTCAAAACCTGTCTCTCCCATGCCCAAACTTGTAACAATGTCAAACAGCCTTTGAGCTCTTTATTTTGCATTAAAGCAACCTTTGACATTTCTCGATATAGATATGCTAAAACAGCACTACCCCAGGATAATGTCCCACACACGTCAAAGTCTTCGAGAAGTGGTAACCACCTATTGAAAAATGTGGAAGTTAGTCAGATTTTCTAAAAATAGTGAGAAAAAATATCTTCTTATCAAAGTATAAAAGTAATAACAATTTATGACCCGTCTTACCTCAAATGCACTTTATGTTTACTTGAATCGGGAAAAAGAAGCGTCCCGATCATGTGCAAAATATATGCTCTAGCATGTTGTTGGATCATGACTTCTGATGCATCGTGTGGCAATGGGTTAGCAAAATTCTCTTTTAGCCATTTCAATCTAATATACCCTCCAGGCAAGGACTCCGGTGATAGTCCTAACAAATTATCACATACATCCCGCCAAACATGCCTATCTGTCCCCGTGACACAAGGACCATCAATGCGGAGTCCTAGGATCACTGCTACATCCTGAAGAGTAATAGTTGCCTCCCCAACACGTAGATGAAAAGTGTTAGTCTCGGGCCTCCATCTATCCATTAACGCATTAAGCAGTGCCCAGTCGAGTTTCATCCATCGCAATTGTGAGCAAATTAGAAAACCGGCTTGTGACACAAGGGCAATGATGCGAGGATCATCAAGCGGCCAACGCATATGCCCAAGGCTATGATCAATCATAACCAGCTCTTGCCCTCTCTACACAAAAATAAAAACAAATATTAGAATATCACAATAATAAATAATGTGAGTCTAAACTAAATCAATCAAAACATAGAGCCATAGTACCTCTATAAATGATATACTCTCTGAACGATGGCGTGGCTGATCATAGAGGACTTTATCAGAAACCGGCCCGGGGAGCATCGCGTATATACCTGAACGATGTCAAGATTACCTTATTAGTTTCCTACCAAATGTATAAGGCCACAAAAATAAAATTAACAATGTAAATAGAAAATGTATTACCAATTAATTGCTATAAACTTGTTCTTGATGGACAACGAGACCTATTATGCCCTAATGCCCAAAATGTGTTCCATCGATGCTTAAGAGCGGACGACAAAACGAGAACCCTTTGATAGCGGGCCCAAATGCCCAAAATACCCGTACGAACCTCTCCACTTCCGGCGAGACCTGCTTAGACACTATCTCATGTTCGGAACCCGGATTATTCCTCTTAATTGCTGCAAGATAATGTGGAAGTTTTTGATAAGATTCTTCCCAATCTCCAAATATTTTAGTCAACGTCTTCCTTCGTGCATCATATGCTTTAGACTTGGATATAGTTATGCCTTTCATAGCACGAACCGTTGTTATTATCTGTCCTGGAGTAAGATCAAGTTCTCGCCTAACTTCGGGCATAATTAGCTTCATTATATAAGCGGAAGTCGCTGTCATATGATCATTAGCGACAGTCGGATTGCAACATGTATGAAGTCCGCAATAATTTGAGATCACAAATTGTCCGTTGGATTTTTTCCTAATAGTTGCATTAAGCTTCCATGGGCATTTTAAATTTCTATCGTCTGCAGCACTTGTATAAGCGGCTTGACATTTATTTCTATCGTCTGCAGCACTTGTATAAGCGGCTTGACATTTCTCATTGAAGTAACACTTTACATGGTAACTAGTTGAGTTGGATTTCACCGGCTTGAATTTGACCCGGTTCCTAATTGCCCATTCACGTATAGCAAAAATTAAGCTTTCCTTATTCTCAAATAGATCTCCTTTTTTGAAAGTGATATCCTCAGGTCGATCGAAATTAGGACCAGGCTCAACTAACTCAGCTTGTGAGTTATTTACCCACTCATCATTTTCAAACTCTTCGGGTAACGGTTCTTTAGACTCTACATAATCGTTGTTCACGCAATATGCATTCATCCAACTTGCATCATCATTGTTCTCTCCAGTTGCAAACTGCATACCATCAAGACGTTCCTCCTCAGACTCAACATCTTCACTATCATCATCAGCATCTACATATTCGTCATCTTCTTTTATAGAACCACCAACCGATAAATCAACTGAAATATCATCATACACGTTGTGAAACATGTAACTTGACGTTGCACCTGCGTCATTTTTTAAGTGCAAGGCACTTTGAGATAATGAGATTTGACTTTCAAGCATGCGAGAGAACTCTCCGTGAGCATACGAAACTTCGACAACCCCAGACTTTGGAATATTTTCAATGAACAACTCAATTGCGATTTGTTTATCCGTAAGTTGTATCATGTCATTCAATTCTTCATCAGTGGTGATCTCTGCCGCAATTGTTCTTTTTTCATTTATTGGACAATTACAAAAGACCTTAATGGCATTTTCGGCATGATTAATTCTGGTAACTCAGTATATTTGCTCCATCATTCCATCGAAATTGCAATTTCTAGACAACATGAACATTTTCGTAGAGCCTCCATCATATATAGGCAAATTATTCATTCCAACACTCAATTTCCCATTGAATAAGCAAATAATCGGAATTCCATTCGCCATTTTAACTGAAGAATTAAAATTTGACGTATACAAATTAGAAATTTTACAAATTAATGATCATAATTCATTATTTCCTCTAGATATACCTTTAAATATACATATTAACTAAACGAAATTGGAGAAATTTATGAAAAAAATTAAAATTGTTACCTTGTCGAAATCGGATTTCGTTGGCGTCGGAGATCAAGCTCGGCGTCAGATTTGAGGGAGGAGGGGGTGAGTTGGCTTTGGGAGAGAGAGATTGGGTTTGAGAGAGATGGAGATTGGTTTGGGAGAGATGGAGATTGGGTTTGTGTGTGGAATTAGGGTTTGGGAGAGATAGAGATTGGGTTTGGGTGTGAAATTGGGGTTTTGGAGAGATTTCAATGGGTTTGGGAGGGATTGAGATGGGTTTGGGAGTGAGGGTGAAGAGATTGAGATGGGTTTGGGAGTGAAGGTGGAGAGAGAAGGCGGAGAGAGATTGAGATTCTAAGGGGAATAGCGGAATTTAGGACAGATGGTATATATATGTCGACATTTATATGAGACTAGTAGTCCCGTAAAATGGTTCCCGTGGCTCTGCAAAATGTACGGGACTACTAGTCCCGTACATTTTGGTGAGCCACGAGAAGCTCACAGAAAACATATGGGACTACTAGTCCCGTATGTTTTCTAATCCCTAATTAGTGTATTGAAAACATACGGGACTAGTAGTCCCGTATGTTTTCAGGCCAAGTTTTTAAAAATCGACCTCTTTTTGGCCAACAGGCCAAAAAGAGGTCGATTTTGCTAAATATTTAGCAAAATGATCGATTTTGCTAAATATTTAGCAAATGTGGTCTATTTTCAGAATTTTTCCTATTTACGCTTAACGTTTTAACTGTAGCAACACCCTTGCAAAATTATAATCAGTGAAGGGTCTCGATACAAAACACCACGCGCTAATCCCTTTGCCGTAAATCGTAATCACCACCTAACGCGATTCTTACGATGAAAGAACAGGGACAAGATAGTAATTCCAACTCATACAACAACAAAAAGAAAAAAAAATCTCGAAAAAAGCAAAATAAAAAGGGGCGATGAACACAGCTCAGCGCTGTCGATTGCGTTGGTCAATGTGAAAAAATTTGGGGAGTTTTTGGGTGGAAATCCGACCACCATGCTCTCCAAGCTGCCATCTTTCATGGTCCCTTTCTCCTGCTCTGCGTCTGGGGTTCGTTCCATCTCTCCCCCTTAATTCCCCTAATTTCCCTCGATTTTTTTTTGATATCTTTATAGTTTTTTTATGGTGTGGAATTGATCTGGATTTAAACATTCTGACGATTAATCGTTAGGTTTGTTCGATTTCTGCTTTTGCCTGATGTAGAATTCTTGAACTGTGGATGCACAAGATCTTTTTTTTTTTTTAATTTATTGATCTCATTATACTAATTATTGGATCTTACTGTTTGTTTAAACTTTAGGATTATAGTTAATGCACATGTGATGTGTGGTGTGGTGATCATATTAAGGGTCTAGACATGTAGAGCACACAACAGGGTGATCCAGCATAGAATGACTATTTTGATCGAGGGGAAGGTGGAATTCATACTAGGGTGATCCATTTTCAGCTATCTGACTTCAATTAGTTTTTCTTTCAATGATTTTTAGAAAGGGATTACAGGTCATGTGGACCTGTAACCTGAGAAGATAATAATCCTCAGCTATTTCTTAAAAAAAAACATCATACTATGAGCTCCTTTCAGCTTAATTAACTGGGTCTGCACACAATGATGTGACCTCTTTACCAAAGTATTTGATGTACCTGTTGTGATCTCCAATATGTTTGATATTTGTTATACACGTGGTTTTCTGCCTAGTTTTGAGCTTCCCGACTCCTTCCTAAGCTCCCGCCACGCATTAGGAATTCATGAGTTTTGAGTTTTCTGCCTAGTTTTGAGTTGCCCTACCCACCCAGCAAGTCCGTTCATGAATTTCCCTTTTTCGAGAAACATAATATTACTCCATAGCAGTTTTGAATTCATGAGTTAGTTCTATCATCAGAATGGTTACATGACCCAAATGCAACCTTTTAATCTACTTAAACTGTGTAATATTTTTCAAGCTAACGAATGATTAATCTTTCTTGTGAACTAGATAAAAGAAACTAGCAGAGTAGTCAGTGGCAGAAGAGAGTAGTTGCCAGGGAGGCGAGAGGAGGAGGATGGAAGAAATGAAGAGAGGAAAATATATGATAGGGTAGGATAGGATCTTTTGCATGTTTAAAAAATAACTGAGGACATTGTTGGAGGATGGTGAATTGGATGTTACAAGACAATAAGATATGTTAGTGGTAATAAATTGGATGTGGAGGTGGAAGAAGCATAGGTTTTTATGTAAGTTTCAAAAGCATGTTTTCCTATAGCAGCATCAACGTACATCGTAAGAAAATGGAATTTCCTGAAAATGGAGGAACTAACTTTTGTATAATTTTAGATTTAAAAGATACTGTTGACTTTCACTGATTACTCCAAGAAGTTGCTCATAATTTGTTTATAGAATCATATTATAGATGTTTTCGTTGTTTAAATTCCTAAGAACAACACTATAACAGAGCATAAAATCTTTTTTTTAATCATTCTTTAGATCTTGTAAGAAACTTAAAATTTTATTCTGCTTCACTAGTCGCAGTTATCTTGAGAGCTTGTAGGAACTTCACAGAATGTTCTCGTGCAAAGGAAACCCTTGGAGTGGAACTCGTTTCTAGCCTTCTGTCTTGCTTCTCTGTTTTCTTGTGAAAGTGGTCAATGCAATTTCCAGTTAAGTTTTCATTTAAAAAATTTTGATGAATCCTGTCTTTTATTTAGAGTGTATAGATGTTTGTTTAGTGTCTGTGAGAGTATAGGCTATTTTGGCTTGTTTTTGTTTTCATTTTCCCTAGATGGTCGTAGCTACAACAAACCATTGATATCAAGGTAATCAATATTTTCATTACTTTGATGATTGGCTAGTTGTATATGGCGGTGTTGTGGTACTATATCATAGACACTAAAATTCTTTTATTAGCATTTTGTTGTGAAAAGTAGCAGATTCAATTTACAGGTAAATGGTGGTTCAAATCATATTAGTTGTACATAAAGAAAATATCATTTAATTGCAAGGTTTAATTTCTCGATATGGAACATTAAAAATAGACAACTATTTTTGTACTCAATGATTCAGAGTATTTGGCTTAAAATATGAACTATGTGTTCTTGCAGCAATTAACTTTTTATCACGTCAGAGTAGTCTTATAACAGGCCATGGGATATTCGTGAATAGAAATGGATCATATCATAATGAACATAGAGCGAACAAGATTCATCATTTATCACATGAATAGAAATAGGTCTACTTTTGTGTTGTTGATTATTTTGTTCTGCGTTATTCCTTGCCATGTTTGCCTGCTGGACTGTGAACATTCTTTCCTTACATTCATAATAAGCATTGTAAAAGTTATCACTTCCTAAAAAAAAAGATTTGGAAATATTCTCCAGAAAACCTTGGGAAAGATGGATACATTTTTGTTCTCAGTTCAATGGATGGCTACAAAGAACTTAGTTCTAGCAGTAATTATCAAAATTATCTGTTTTCTCCTAATAACCAGCATAAATAGGTTATTATGTAGTTTATGATTCACTTTGAACATATCAATCTTTCTGCATATTCAGCATGTTTTCTTGGCATTGTAAATGGCTTGTTTTGTTATATTTAGAATGCAGGTAGAAGTAATTTTCCTGAATAATTTTTGGCCCATGCGCATAGTAGATGTATATGTATATACTGACTACCAAAACCTGAACCTGTACTTAGTCTTCTTTAGTGTTCAAACCGAAACTGAGTTCTCAAACTTAGGCTGTGCACAAGTTGTACGACACGTCAAATCAAGAATGTTTTATTTTAGAATCTTCCTATGCATTTAAGGATTAAATCTTCGGTCTTTTATTTAAAAAAAATCAGAGTTTCTGCTATATCTCTTAGACTAAGATTTTCTTCTGCCTTATTTACTTTGATTTTTGTTTTATTAATGATAGTAAGATACTTTTTCTCCAGGTTAGAAGACAGCCTTCTATGTGGCCAAATATGAGAAAACACTGGTTGGGAAAGTATTTGTCCTATGGATTTGGAACTTTCGTCACGAGACCTATCAGAACTTTGCGTGGAGTAGCAGGTTATTCCTTTGGTGTTACCCAACTTTTGTGCAATGCTGCTTGTATGGCCTCCCCTTTGCAAATAGAATTGGTCAGCATTCTTATACTTTCAAAGTCTCTATTTATTGGTTCTTAAATGTGTTGTGTGTAAATCATGGTTATCGTCGTTTCTCTGTGTGTACGTCCCATTTACAGTTGATGGCTTATGCAAAGGAGCTTGATATGAGAAATTTACTCTTAAGCACCTAAGGCCAGATAGCATACTAGTAGGCATATAAGTGAAACCTATGATTTTCTTTGCCAGAGCTTTTGAGATATGATTGTTAGTGCAGCCTAAAATTTTAAGGCGAACATCTTCATTGTGGTAAGATATGGTGTTACAAAGTCCCAAGCTTATGGCTTACTTTGACGACTAGAGGTTATAAAAACAGATTACATGGTATACCAACAGTTGTGGAAACTAAACTTTTATATTTAACTAGGAAATACCTGCGTGACGTGGGGCAAGAGAAGATTAAAAACTCTATTATTGAAATGATTCATCTTAATAATCAGAATGTGGAAATAAAATTTGATAATATGTTATAAAATAAACACATTCAACCATCTTATAACAGATATGATACACATTGTTCGTTATAGAGTCTATATGATACACATTCAACAATCTTATAACAAACAATCTTAAAATTTGATAATATGCTATAAAATAAACACATTCAACAATCTTATAACAGATATGATACACATTGTTTGTTATAGAGTCTATATGACAAATAGTGAGGATTATAGTCATTTTCTAACTTACGAAATTAAGAAAAGTAATAGTAAGGCTTAATTGTTTGTATTTTGTTGAAGATTGAGGAGACAAGCGCGCTGCAAGTCTGCAAGCAATACCCCTAGGATACAATGAATTGAACATGCAAAAAAATAATACAAATCTGAGCTCACAAACAAGAAAGTCACCATAATAGAAACAAAGAAATTAAACATGAAAAGAGCACAAATCACAGGTCACAAGCAAGAAATTTGCAGAAGAGAAAACAACCTCAACACAAAAGTGTAGAATTTAGAAAGTTTTACAACTCCCTAGCTATTGAACGCTTTCAAACCGAAGTGGGAGCAACAAGACCCAACAACCTCCAACCGAATGATTATACGTTGAATAAAATGGTGTGAGGGACTTGATCTTTTAGATTTAAGCAATATAGCAGTTAATGAAATTTACTGGGGCATTGGGGGGAACATTAGCAATAATGATAGATAATAGTAGAAAAGATTGTCATGGCAGTGTTGCCCAATTATATGCACAGAAAATACGTTTTAAAATTAAATGTAACAAATTATCAATAACTAATAATCTAAGCACAAGAAACAGTGATGTCTCAGTCACTGTTTTAAAAAACCTCCGCCTAGTCCGCTTAGACGTACGCCTAAGCCTAGGCGGTACCTAGGCCGCCTAACTAGCGCCTAGCGTCTAGACGATATTTAGACTGCCCACCTAGATTTTACGAGCGTTAGGGGAGCATTGTCTGCTTACGTGAATTGCACTCTGTAGGTCTTGGTTGTGATTTTATGTGTTGTAGCTTACACGTCCTCCAAGCTCCATTAACCTCCAAATATGAACATCTCCACTACCTCCCCCGACCTTCAGCAAAATCTCATCGACCACTACTTATATGAAGAAAGAAATCCGTCTAGACACCAGTCCGGCATCTAAGCTTTTTATAACATTGACATTCACTATCAATTATTATAATTAAAAATAAAAAAAGAAAACATCTTAGATTCTAGCCTTGTTAATTATTATTTTGGCTATTTAATATCTAAATATGCATGATTTATTGTAAAACTAAGATTGGTATCTTTTTTTGAAAATTTATATGAATTTAATACATATTTTTATCAATATTATAATTAAATAATTTAAAAATAGTCAAACGCCTATGTGCTACCTAGGCGTACGCCCAGGGGTCTAGGCACTAGGCGCTCGCTCAAACGCCCTAGTTTGTTTAGCACATTCTGTAACATTGTCGAGCTCCCCCGATCTCTATAACTACTAACAAGGTAAAAAGTACTTCTTAAATATCTATTTAAGTTGGAACAACGGTAACTTAAACTTAAGAAGTGTAAGTTAACAGTAAACTTAAGTTTTAAGTTTAAGTTAATATTAAGTTTTTTTTATGGTAAACTTAAGTTTAAGTAAACAGTAAACTTAAGTTAACAATATTTTAGTTAACAATAAACTTAAGTTTAAGTTTATTGTTAACTTAAACTTAACAGTAACTTATAAGTTAACAGTAATTTGAGTTGAGAATGAGTTTTTCACTATTGAGATGAACTTATAATTTGAGTTGAGAAGTATAAACATACAAAGAGCTGTTGTAATTGGTAAACCAAACAATTTAGTTAAAAGTGTTGGTATTTTAGTATTTATGTATCTTTGATTGAGTATATATATATTTATCTTCAAGTATTACAATTAAAAAATAAAAAATAAACGCCTAGAAACTGCTTAGGCGCCCGCCTAGGCGACTAAGCGCTGGGCGCCAAGTTCGACGCCTAGAAACGCACAGCGTTTTTCTAAATGTAAAATAATATTTGCAAACTTTAAGAAGACAAACAATTAGAGAATTAATGCAGAAGAAGTATGACAATTTTTAAATAAATAATTCACCCTCTAGCATAGACATCATCCATGAGCGTGATGCTCTAGTGTCGGATTTGCTTGGTGTAGGTGAAGGCATCGCTGATGATCTTCTCAAGGAAGATCATTTCTCTCTTTAATTCATTTGTATATAAAGAAGCAGAATCCAAATACTCACACAGCTTATTTACAACCAAAATAAATAAAATTTCTCATGTCTATACATTCCTCACTTCATGCCATTTATATCCCATTTATTTATGGGGAGTACAAAAAATTTCTCATGTCTATACATTCCTCACTTCATGCCGTTTATATCCCATTTATTTATGGGGAGTACAAATTACAAGCAATAATCACCCTGACGTTATAAGGCTGATCGATCTCAAACAAGTAGACATATAAGATTTAGGGTTAAGATGTGGGAGAGAATTGGAGAGGAGCTAGGGATTTTATAGAGGTGTTTGGATTGGAATTGAGGATTAATAAAAAAATTTTGGAAAAGAGGAGGCGGTACGATTCCAATCACACCCTCCCTCAACCCTCCTCGCCTACTCCCATGTCCTCCCTCACCTATTGACCATCCCTTCCTTACCATCTATCCCATCAGAGAGTAGTAAGAAAATCTTACACAAGGTTACTAAGGAAATAAGAATGATACAAAAAGGAAATAAAACATGAATAGTTCTGCATGAAATTTGGGCACACTTTTTTCAGAAATACCCTTGACCAAAAATCAGAAGCATAACAGTAAAATTGGGAAAGAAAAGTAATATAGAATATAATAGAGGGCAGAAATGGAAAAAAGGATCCCCTCCAGCATTTAGACAATGTGTTTTTGTGGAGCCACAAATAGGTCATTGTATCTAGGAAGTGTCCATGTTCTTAAGGTGTTTAGACCATGTCAAAATGGTGTCTGAGTCACGTTTAAGGGTTCTTTTTACGTTTCTTTATCCCTGCATCTCTAGCATATATGGATTATTATGGCATGAACTATACACGCACAGTCACACACATGTTTGATCATTATATGGGGTAGCAACTCATTTCATTGAGCAAGTGAGGCAAGAGATAAAATGGTGAGGCCCCCACCTTTTGGTGTCCTCAACACTTGTCTCTTGGTAGTTTATATAGCAAAGTGATCTGCCACTTCATACCTCCCAACAACACCCCCCCTACCACCCAAAAAAAAAGACCCG